TCACGAAAATTTCCTATGTTTTCTTCTAAGAGTTTTACAGTTTTAGCTCTTACATTTATGTCTACGATCCATTTTAAGTTAATGTGTATCAGTGAGGTAGGGCTCCAACTGCCCTTTTTTGCATGTGGATATGGAGTTGTCCCAGCATCATTTGAAAAATCAAATTGTATTTCCTTTTGAAATACATAATTATAATTGCATAATTAGTCATCAGGCTTCCAGTTAGATTATAAATACCATAAAGGCAGGGACTATGCCCATCTTATTCACTACTGTATCTCTAGCACACAACCCAATGTCTAGCAAATAATAAACACTCGTAAATGTTGGTTGAATGAGGTATAATTTTATTATTAATAATAAACATTCTACAACTCTATGGGTTATAGGTATTTTCATCTCTGTGTTACTTAGGCACATAGGAGTAGGCAACATACGCATTATTTTGCCGGTTCTCAATTTTTGACTCATGTGATCCCTCCTCACCTGGTAAGGGTGTTAGTGAGCTCCTCCAGGGAGGGACTGCTTCTCCTTCCTCATTGTGTTGCCACCACACAAATTCAGCTCAGGGCTAGACACAAAAGACAGGCTGGACTGATGAGTGACTGAGGGACAAATGGACAGTGCCCTCTGTGACCAGGTACCTGCCTGTCTCAGTCGCTCCTGGCCTCAGGCTGGTCCGGTAACACCAAGCAGTATATAATTATCCCCTTCCCCCACTGTTTCTTACCCCAGGCTGTTTCCTGCCTCGGTGCTATCATTCATGCTGTGCCCTTTGCCCAGAATACCTTCCTCTCCTGTTGGCTAAGTGCTACTGTTTTAAGACCCTGATCAGGTGCCATTTCCTCTATGATGCTTTTTCTATCCCCAGGCTGGTGAGAGGCATCTTCTGGGCTCCAGTCTTACAGCACTGATCACACTGTGTTGCCACAGTCTTTCTTGGACTACTTCACAGAAGGCGGGTGTCCTCTGGTCAGGACTCAGAGTATGACAGGTGCTCAGTAAATTTTTGTCAAGGGAACAAATGAACCTAGAGAGACAGAGCAGGCAGTCTCAACTCCAAGATTTATACCATCAGGAGGCTTTCATTTAAGGTTTGGGCTGATGAGCAACTGAGTTAAGCAGTCAGCAGAGAGACCCAGCTCCCTGCTGGGAGAAGGGAAATGGGTAGGGGTGTCGTCTTTCACCTAAGTTTGTTCTGACGGAAATGTGATCTCCTTTGGGAGTACAGGAGGCCTCACTTCTCCCAACCCTGATAGCACCTCCCTTGGCTCAGCCTGGGGCTGGACAGATGTGCCTTCGGTCTGCCCTGTGCCCCAGGTTTCGGGTGAGTGGTTCCCGAGTTCAGGAGCCAAGCTTGGGCTGTGAACAGGGCCACCTGCTCATGCTCCTGACAGGTGGTACAGGGGGCCCCAGGACCAGGCTTCCACTCCTGAAGAGTGCTAACAAGGTTTAAGTGCCTTGGGGGAGGAAGTAGTGAATGGCTGCCACATAAGAAAAAAGGCAGAAGGGATGAAGGAGGACACTCCCTCTGACAGAGCTAATGGGAATATGGAAACAAGACTCTGGACTGTCTGCTTCAGGTTTGCTGAAAAGTCAGTAAAAAGCAACTCTCCCCCAAGTTATGATGTGCTGAAGACAGGGAGGTAATGTGCGGAACTGGATCTTGTCCTGCTCTGAGGAGGCATACAATCAATGATTTATTTAAGGTGAAGCCTAGCCCACGACTCTCTTAATATAAAAAACACAGTGTGGCAAGTAGCAGATCTGGTCTTGCCCCTTTCACCAGGCAGGCCCACCAATAGATGGTCAGCCAGCACCTCATAAAGCAGGGCAGCCTTGCCCACACATCAGAGTCACTGCCCAGAGCTGTTAGCTCAATTGTCTCATACTCTGAGGACTCCTGATCTGTTCCTGATTGAGGCAGCATGTGAACCTCACTGGTTTTCCTGTTTGTGGCCTGAGTATTTCTTCAGTCCTGACATTCAGCCCTGCTTCTCACCTGAACTACTTCTCTTCTGGAAAAGGATGCCTCTCCTGCCACAGGCTGGCTTGGCTGTTCCTAGATGACCCTCACTCCCTTCCAGACTAGAAGAGAGGTGCAGGGCAAAGGAAGGGGAGATCACAGCTAGGAGGAGTCAAGGAAGGCTTCACAAGGACAGCAGCACTTGAGCTGGGTCTGGAAGGCCAGGAGGATCTAAGCAGAGGGTGATAAGCAGCGTACAGAGGGTGGTCTGTGTGGAGGGCTCAAAACCAGGACCCTAAAACTGCAGACTTCCAGTATCCTTGAATAAGATGAAGTACTTACCCTCTGAGCAGAAGGGCCTCAGGCTGTTGCCCTTCACTGTTCAGAGCTCTCTTAAGGCTCTGGGGCTGTTGCCCTTCACTGTTCAGAGCTCTCTTAAGGCTCTGGGGCTGAAGACGGTAGGGGGACATCAAGGCAGAGACACACACAGCACAGTGACCCAGAGAGGGCAAGGGGGAAAGAAGGGTAAGAGATAATGTAACTCACCAGGTCTGAGTTTTACTCCAAATACTATTATCATTGACCATACTGATCATATACATGGTGACCCAACCATGTATAACCTATGTGTAAGTTTGGGTTTTTTAAAATTGAGAATGGGACTCTATTCTGCTATACATAGCTCTGTTGGGCAGAAATAAATGCAGGAAACACAGAGGAAGAAATTAAGAATAACATTAAGTACCTGTCCAGAGTCTAGGACATAGGAAGTCTGAATAAGAACCTGCTGCAGGAATTCAAGAAAGTTTCCATCTAGCAAGGATAGAGAGGCTCTCCCCACCCCACCGCTGGATCCAGATAGGTTAGCAGGAAGAACTGTAATTGGTAGGTAACATGTTTGTTTCCTTGGGACCAGAGACAGGGTCACCCCCTCCCCCCATCTCCAGTGCTCAGCAGAGGCCCATTCAAGTACTCATAAGCAGGAACTGCTTTGGGTGAGAAGGAAGGAAAGCTGTCCTAATTCAGACCTTCATCACCATGAATTTGTCTTACTGAAACAGCCTCTTAGCAGATCAACCTTCAGCCTTTCTGCAGTTCAGATCATCCTTTATCCTTCTAAATGATCCTCACTAGGATACTCCCCTGCTCAAAACTTCCCCTGTCTCCCCGCGGCTTATAGGGCAAGAATTCAAAGCTCCTTACTGTGGGCATTCCAAGCCCACACTCTCAGGTCTCCTTTCCTCTTTCCCAACACTCTGCAACTCTGCACAAGGGCTATCTCAGCAGCATCAATGTGACCTGGGGCCCAGCAGCCAGCCCGCATCTCCTGACCCTGCCTCTGCTCAGCTTGCTCCCTGCTCTTTGCTTCTGGGAGGGAGTGGGGGAGGCAGCGGGGAGGGCAGGGAGGAGACTGCCATGCTGAAAGGCATGGGCATCTCTGACCCCCTCCAAGAGGTGAAGGCACACGGCATCATGACCAAGAGAGATGGGACAAGAGGAGGCAGGAGAAAAGCAGAACAGAGACTAGGGACAGATGAGAGGCCCCTACAAATCCTCTACACAGGCAAGAATGAATGTTCTGAGTCACACACACCATAAATTCAATCACCTTCTATAGTCTTTGAACAGGTGTTTAATTGCTATTAGAAAAACATGTATTTGAAGGAGCTAAAATAATCAATACTTCGGGGTTCAGTGGAACAGGGTAAACTCAGCCTCCCCTGGGTGGTAGAAAGGTGGATTTACTCTGCAAATGAGCTGTCTACCTTGGGTTGCCAAACACAAGCAACAGCCTGGCAGCCCTCAGCAGATACCAACAGGTGACTCCAGGGTCAGAAAGGTCTGAGAGGAGGGAAACAGCCAGGTCCCACTTTATCATGCTGCAGCAAAGACATGAGGCTCATCTGTTTCTGGGGGAATGAAGACGCCATGCAGAGCCTGCAGTTATAAATGGCTCTTATAACAACAAGCTGACATCTGTGCTTGGTTTTTAAGATGCATCATCGCATGTTTATTAAACTATTGCTCCATCATATTTATTTGGCTATGAAACAACTCCCAGCCCATACATCCAGAAGTGGCTTATTAAAAACTAAGCTTTGAACATTAATACTCAAAAGCACCCTTGAGAATCAATAATGCTTCAGATAAAATGAAAGGGAATCAAAGCAGTAAGTCTTGGTGGGGGCTGTAGCTGCCTTTCAACACTTTCTTACATGTTCAGGCAGCTGGAGTGGAGAAGAGCACCAGTGGTGTGTGTTACTGGATGCAGCGACAGCCAGCTCAAATGCCTGATTTCCTGCCTAAAATGTGGATGTGGCAGCAGGAAAGGGGCTGTCCCCATGCTGATCCCCTATGCTGGCCCCAGTCTGAGCATGCATCCTGGACACAGACTCTGCCCTGCCCCTGGCACCAGGCTGAGACCCAGGTTGAATCCTGCCCCTGCCCAAGAACAAGCCTCAGATCCAACTGGCCAGTGGTCATAATGGGCCCGGCTGAGCCAGGGAGCCTGGAGAAATGCAGTCAGCCCCTGGGCAGGGGCCCAGCATGTGCACCCCAGACCTGTAGGCAGTTCTTTCCAGTCCTGGAAGACCTGGCATAAAGGTCTCTTCCAGCTCCTGCCCAGATCCCCAAGCCTCTCCATGGGTGCCCACCTGCACCGCATCCGGACAAAAGCAATTACATGACTAGTTACACAAAGAAACAAGAACAAATTAGAAGATTCCGTGAAGAACCTATGGGACATTAAGGGGACTTCAAACCATGCCCTATGAGGAACAAAACAGTGGAAGAATCCAGGGATGTTTGGGGTCAGAAAAAAGGAGACAAAGGGCTGACTCCCTACCTTAAAGTAGCTAAGGACTGACCTGGGCCAAGGGAGCCCAGGTTACACTGTGTGACTACAGAGATGTCAAAGGCTTCAGCTCTCAGCTTATTGTGATGCTGTCCCCCAAAGCAGCCACCACCAGAGGAAGGAGCTCACCCTGCTCAGCCCCTCCTTGGGGGAGAACAAGGTCTGGGGTTTGACACTCACCTGCTGACTTCTGGGACATTGTTGGCACGAGCAGCTTCCATCATGGCTGCATCTGGAAAGAGAGGGGGCACTGGTCAGATCCCTGGGACAGGAGAAGTGGAAAGGGTCCAGAAAATGGGCTTTACCAAGGAACATGATGCCAAGATAATATAAAGAGAAAGCTAATCATCCACTATCCACATGGTATCCACAGTTAGCAGCTTGTCTTCCACATCCATACAGAGCCCAAACTCTTAACCCCTCCCATCATGCAGGTGACCCAGCTAAGGTGCTAGCACCACATCCCAGGTAAGGTGCTAGCACCATGTGGTGCCTATGGTAAATGCTCAGTGTGTGAATTCCGTTACTCTTCATTAGTTGTAAAGCTCTGTATAATATATTTTAAATGACTATTATCAATCATTTCTGACCTTGCCCTACTTTCTCCCTCAACTCCACTTTCTCAGCCTAGTTTTAAATCTTGATGTCACAGGTCACAAACACAGCAGGAGGGACAGGATGGGGAAAAGCAAGCAGAGGTGTGAGCCCCTTTGAGAGCAGAGCGAGCCTCAACCAGGAGTCAGGAGGCCTAGCTCCAACTCTGCCCCCTATTCGCCATGCGCTGTGACAGCCTCTTTCCCTCCCAACCCCTGCTTCCCAGACTATAATGTAGACGCAATAATCCTTGCCCAGTAGGCCACACAAAGATGCTAAGGAGAGGAAATGATGGTTGAAAAATCTGCAAAGTCCTCAGTGCCAAGCCCAGCAAAGGAAACCCAAAGCAGAGGGTTCCAAGCCCTTTGCAATCACCTGCAGAAAAGCACTGCTTAACCACCTGCAGGCTGTTGGCACCACCTTGTGGCCACAAAGAAAAACTGCCTGATGCCGAAAATGTCAAAAGTCAACAGCAGAGGCACAATTTTTTAGTCAATACCAAATGCCCAAGTAGCCCCTTGTGCCTAGCCTGGTTCTGAACTCCACTGCTGAACACTGGATAGACTCCTACCCAGACCTGCCTCAGGGAATTCCCAGTCCAGCCAAGAGACCCACCCAGCGAAACATGAGAGGAGGCAACAAAGCAGGACTGAAAGAGCAGATCTGGAGACAGACCGACCTGGGCTTCTGTCCCAACTCTGCCACTTACTTGCTGTATGACCTGGCCTAAGCCCCTAATCCTGGCCCTCGGTTTCCTTATTTATACAATAGGGACAAGACAGCCACCTTACCATACCTATGCAAACCGATTCTGTGGTTTAAACATATGTTAACTCCACCCCACCTAGACCCAGAGCAGGCCTTTCCTGGCCATCTTCCCCATTGTTCTCCAAGCACACACCCTGGCATGCTCAGCAAGCCCCTAGTTGGAAGGGGAATAAGGCTTCCTGAGAAATCGCTGTACTCATTCTTCCCTCGCACTGTAGAAAGAACTGGTTTCTGCAAAGTCACAGAGGAATGAGCAGGAATAAGAACCAGGGCCTCTTAACTCCTAAAGGGTAGGTTCTACCACATGGCACTATGGGCCTGAGCTCACAACCCCATGTCAGGGACAGGGTAGCTAGCAAGTCTGAACAATCTGAACTGGTTCTGATTTGGGTTATCTATTTCAGTAGAGAGACCCTGGTCCCCTTTGGGGTTCACATGCCACAAAGTCCCTATGAAGTCCAGAGCCCCTATGAACCTCTAAGGCACGATCTTGGACACCTCCCCAAATCCATCTAAACACACTGGCCTCAGGACATTCTCTGTTTATGAACTTTCCATGGCTCTCCACTGCCTGACAATGGAGACATTCCAAACCCTCCTGCCTGACATCCAGGCCCCACTCCATCTGCTCTCACCTCAGTCCAAAGACCTATCCTCTAACCAGGCTGGCCATCCTATTAGCTCCACACACCATGCTGACTTACGACTCCCGTATTTTTGTTCCCTGAAGCTTCTGCATGGAATACAGTCCAATTCAATACACATTTACTGAGTACCTACTAAGTTCCAGACACTATGATGAACAAATGATCTATGAAGGTATTCAGGAAAGGAGCCGGTTATCAGCCTGAAAAAAATATAAGATGCATTCCCTGTCCTTGAGGAGCTCACAATGTCACCCACTTACCTCACCCTTCAGAGCTCAAGTTCAAATTCCCCACCCTCCAGGGGTCTCCAGTCTTCCAGGAACACTCTCCTGACTCCCCCAACAAGGCACAGTCAGACCACTCACCAGACCCTGAGGCCTAATGACCCACATTGTCCCTTTAACTGACTCTGTGCTAAATTAGGAGTTCCACGCCTAGCCCAAAACTGGGCACAAAGAGGGTACTCAAAATAATGCTGAAAGTTATGGAACCATAGCGTGCCTAACCTAGAAGAGCCCACAGAGTCTCTATTTCAGCGCCCTCACTTTGTAGATGAGGAAACAGGGGGCCAGTGAGGAGGAGCAAGAGTCCAAACAATAGGAGTTAAAGGAAGAAACAAAGTAAGATCCCAGGTGTCCTTACTCCCAGTCCAAGGCCCTTCTTTGATAGCTTGCCATGACTGCTGAATAAACCAATGCCAAGGCAGTCCCTGCTCCTGCTCCGAAGTCTTAGAGCTTGGGATCATTCAATCTATGAATACCATGACTTCCCCAACAACTGAGAACCTGAATGGCTGGACCATTGTAAGCCAGCAGTCTGGCCCTCTGCCTGCTCTCCTAGTCCCTGCTCAGCTCCATGCACCCAGGTGAGATGCCAATGTGGGTGAGCCAGCCTCCATGGTTGCTATCGGTCTCTTCCTTCTCCTGCCAACTGCCCCACATAGCAAGCTCACCTGGTCTGAGCCCTGTCACAGCAAAGCCTTGGGAGTCTAATGGACAGACCCAGACTACTGAACTCCAGGAGTCAAAATAACAGCACCGTTAAAAGTACTGACAAATCCTCTTTCACTGTATAAGTGGGGAACCAAGCCAGAGAGTAGCAAAGGGGGCACAGTGGTTAGTTAGCATCGAAACCAAATCTTTTCTTTCTTTCTTGGGGCACCTTAGTGGGGAAGCTTTTCTAAACCATTTAGTAGCTGCCCTTAAAACACACCGCGGGTTCCTGGAGACCTCTTAAAAGAACTGGTCCAGGAAGAATATTAAAACATAAAAGGAGCATGCTCTAATTTTAGATGTTTAGTACAATGCTCCCATTTGTACAGATGGACAAAGTGATGCCTAAAGAAGGAAGGCTGGCCTATGACGGGAGATCATGTAACTCAGAGGCAGTGCCCAGCCCCTAAATCCACCCTCCAGAGATACTGAGCCAGGCCACTCCTCCCGCCTCTCCCTCAAACCCAGAGCGTGCCGATAATCACCCTTGTTGGATGGGCTCTTGCTGTAACAGTGAACCACCAGAGCCGTAGCCAGAGCCCACATTCCCATTCCAGTCCTGCCGGGTACCGCGCTCCAGGTGTCCTGCTCCGGGAGTGCTTCTTCAGGAAAAGGAAGGCGTCCCCATGTGGCGGCTGCGAGGCACTGGGTCTCGGTGTGTCCTTTCTGGCGCCCCCCGGTGGCTGCCCCTCCGGTGAACAAGGCCGGATATGTTCCAGGGCGCCCCCCGACGGCCGCCCTCAGCCACTGCGGCTCCCCGCGACCGCCGGTAGTAACACTCCCGCAGGAGTCACCTCCACGGCTCTGGAGCGTTGGGGACCTAAGCAGCTGGAGGAGGAGTCGCGGCGCTGGCGCTGTTCTCTTTAACATCAGGGACCCCAGCATCGCTGACAGCAGCTTTGATAACCCCCTGGTGCCGGCCACTGTGCTGGCCACGTCCAACATGGCTGCCGCGGCGCATTCGAAGACGGAGCGAACGGGGTGGAATTGCGTACGCCTCTTGGGAGTAGTAGTCCACAGCCAGAGATCTCTCCCCAGCTGAAGAACAAATAAACTACACTTCCCAGAAGGTCGTGGAACGTGTCACAATGACTGCCGACACACGGAAGCCCGAAGCATGTTGGGAAATGGAGTCCATGGACTTTAGGCGGCTGGCGTGGTAAGAAGAAAAATGCCGGGGTGGGACGTGAGGTTTAGAGTTAAGGTTCGAAGCCCAAGCCTCTTTCTGAGTTTAGTTAATATACACGACGCAGTTTCTATCTGGTCTAAGTTTAATAGGGATCTTCCGAAGAGGCATATTATGAAACGTATATTTCTTTCATCCTGGGACAAGTTTTCGAGATGTCTAGCGTAACCGGTGCACCTGAAATAAGAATTTCTTTTATTTTCCTACTCAGACTTCCTTTCGGTTAAAGAGCTGACTCCTGGGCTTGCTTTCTCACTTATGTTATATTCAAAGGGCTTTCACGTGGCTTCATTGCATCTTCATGGCAGCTGCGTGTGGGAAGCTGAGCAAGGACCATTACTGCCGTCTACAGGGAGGGAAATTTTGGCTCAGAGGTGAAATGATTTGCCGGTAAGTCAATAAATAAAGCTCAGGTTTTCTAACTCCAAACCCAACACCTACACCTCTATCTCGCCCCCTCTTTTCCAGACGGAACCCACAGGCAGACGAAAAAACTCTTTTTTATGTCAGTCCTCTCTCACTCCTGCATTTCCTTTAGGTCTCTGTTCAATCTTCGCATTACCAGAACCGTCCTTGACGATTTTATTTAAAATAGTAATCTCCCTTCCTGCATCCTTCGTACCCTGCTAAATTTTCTTCACAGCACTTACCACATGACATACTAAATATTTGTTTTATTTATAGTCTTTCTCCCGTAGAACGTGAGCCTGATGAAACAAGGAAAAGTCCTTTTTCACTTTTCTATCACCAGCACCCAGAAAAATGGAAGCAAAACAGTTACTCAATAAATACTCATTCAATGAAAGGATTACTTCCACCTTATTAGCAGGGGGAAATGAATATAAGGTTTGGCGTGCAGGCAGACCTGGATTTCAATTTTGACTCATGCGTGTGATTGCTAATTTCCTTATTATTGTCAAACACAATAATACCTACCTTCAAGAAGACTGCTGGTATTAGATGAGATAATATGTAGACAACCTCCATCTCTGGCTCACAGTAGGTCTTCAAGAAATGGCAGCTATCACTGTATTCCCTGCTTTCCCACTGAATTCCCTATATCAAACTTGAGGGCAGAGATAGTTTTGTCATTTCTGCATCCCTTAGCAAGGCACTCAGCAAACAGCTGTCGAATGAACAAATGAATATTTTTAAAGTACTCAATGCCAAAGCATTTTGACATCCATATTTTAAGAGACTCACAGGACATTCTTGGGTTATAACAGCTTCACCCTGCCTGTATTCTTAGAATATGTCTGCTTCCCAACATTGCACGCTTTCCTATATTAACAAACAGAAGATAGTGAATGTAATTTGTTTTCCTGATGATCAAGGTGATTGCTATCACAACAGATTCTTTTGTACCATGTTGTAAAAGTATGCACTTATACTAACCCAGGCCACACTCAGAAGATATTTTCTAAATAAATATCGTACCACCTCCGTTTCTTGTCATCTGTGTCTTTCCCATAGAACCAAAGTGTGGCATCTGGGCAGAGTAACATGGATATTTTTTACACTAAGGATAAGAATTTCATTTATGGTAAGTCCTCCATCTTATGTAAATGGGGAAAAAACTGGATTTCTTTTTTTTTTTTTATTAAGGTATCATTGATATACTTATGCTCAGGTTTCACATGAGCAACTTTGTGGTTACTAATTTCCTCCTATCATCAAGTCCCCACAACATAACCCATTACAGACACTATCAGCATAATAAGATGCTATAGAGTCACTACTTGTCTTCTCTGTGCTATACTTCCTTTCCTGTGCCCTCCCATATTATGTACCCTAATCGTAATACCCCTTAATCCCCTTATCCCTCCCTTCCCACCCATCCTCCCCAGTCCCTTTCCCTTTGGTAACTGTTAGTCCACTCTTGGGTTCTGTGAGTCTGCTGCTGTTTGTTCCTTCAGTTTTTTCTTTGTTCTTATACTCCACGGATGAGTGAAATCATTTGGTACTTGTCTTTCTCCACCTGGCTTATTTCACTGAGCATAATACCCTCTAGCTCCATCCATGTTGTTGCAAATGGTAGGATTTGTTTTCTTCTTATGGCTGAGTAATATTCCATTGTGTGTATTTACCACATCCTTATCCATTCATCTACTGATGGACACTTAGGTTGCTTCCAAGGAAATTGGATTTCTATCTTACCCCTTCCAACAAAATAAATACCTACTGAATCAAGAGTCAAATGTGAAAAAAAAAATCTAGAAAAAACAAAGTAATTGAAAAAAATAAGTAGGGACACTTTTTAGGCATGATACAAAACTCAGAACCCACAACAGAAAAGATTGATATATCTGACTTTACAAAAAATCGTTCTGATGGGAAAAATACCATAAACAGTGAAAAATATATTCACACAACAGTGATAAAGGGCTGAGTAATACAGAGAACTATAAAACATAAAGACCTTCAATACAAATGATAAATGGACCAGGGCAGTGCCACTGCTTATTTATGCCACACCTTTGTGCAAAGTAAAGAATGGGGCTCCCAGGGATGAATTAGAAAAAGGACCCCTGCACGGTGTTCATGGCTAAGTGAGTGTGCCTCTAGATTTCAGCTTCCTTGAACTGCATATCCAAACTTAGCAGCCCCAAAGGATAACCAAAGAGCTCATGAGAAAAAATACAAATTATATTTAAACATATGAAAATATGCTCAGTTATACCCATATGAGAAATGTATAAATCAAAGCTATAATGATCCAAATCTTGCACCTTATATCAAAAAGTATCTCAAAATGGATTGTAGACCTAAATATAAAACCTAAACTCTAAAACTTCTAGAAGAAAATATGGAGAAAATCTTCTAAGGCAAAGATTTCTTAGATACAACACCAAAACATCCATTTTTTTAATGGACTTAACTAAAATTAAGAACACTTGCTCCTCAAAAGCCACTGTTAGGAGAATGGACAAGCAACAAAAAGGAGAAAATATTTGTAAATCATATATCCAATAAAAGACTTGTGCCAGAATATAAAAAGAATTCTCAAAACTCAATAAGAAAAAAACCCAGCTTTTAAGATGGGAAAAATATTTGAATATACACTTCACTAAAGGGTAATAAGCACATGAAAAGACCCTCAAAACCATTATTCATGAGGAAAAAAATTAAAACCACGAGTTATCATATATCTACAAGAATTTCTAAAATTAAAAGGACTGACCATACCAAATATTGATGAGAATGTAAAACAACTGGAACACCCAAACACTGCTGGTGGGAATGTTAAATGGTACAATCCTTTGAAAAACAGTTTGGCACTTTCTGTAAAAGTTAAATATATACCTATCTTATGATCCAGCCATTCCACTTCTAGGTATTTACCCAAGAGAAATAGAATGTGCATATGTCCATACAGAGATTTATACATGAATGTTTTATTTGTGACTGTTATAAACTGGAAACAAACTAAATGTCCATCAACACAAGAATGGGTAAGCAAACTGTAGTGTGTCCATACAATGGGACACTACTTGGAAATATAAAGGAATGAACTACACATTGTAGTGTAAGGAATACACACATCATATTAGTCAATTTATATAAAATTCTAGAAGATAAAAACTATAGTAACACAAAGCAGACCAGTGGTTATATGGGGATGAGAGGGGAAGAACAGTGGGAGGGAGAGAGTATAGAAGGGCAGACGGAAAGCTTTAGGGGTGATGGATATGTTTGTTATCTTGGTTGTGGTCATTCTTTCACAAGGATGCAAATGTCAAAATTGATCAAATCTACACTTTAGACATGTACAGTTTATTTATGTCAATTATACTTTAATAAAATGTTTTTAAAAACTATAAGGTATGGATCACCTATCAGATTGTACATGTGTAAAATGAGAAATGTTTTGGGGTATTTTAATAGCAAGAGAAATATCCCAAAACTTTCCTCATTGGAAACAGGCTAAATATCCATCAATAGGAGATTGATTAAATACATTAGGGCACAGCTAAACAATTAAATATTGTTTTTTAATGGGGTAATCCTCTCTCTTAATATATAACACTCTGAGTTATATATTAATCTCTAAGGGGAAAATAATTTATGGCACAGAACAGTTACATACAACCATTGGTGCTATTTGAAAAAAATATATAAAAATTTGTGTGGTTGTATACTTAGGTTATCTCTGGAAGGATAATAAAATAGGTGTCCTTTGGGTGAACAAAAGGGGTCTGGGAGATAGGGAGAGAAGTAGGGAGGGAGTGTGTTTACTTTCCTCTGTATCCACTTTGGAATTTTATACCATGTGCATATATTGGCTATTCAAGTAAATTAATCAGTCAACCAATTTCTATTATTTATAGATCAATATTCACTTTAACTTCCAGCACCATGTTGGGAATGCACTTAATTTCAGACTACTGCACTTTTTTCAGGTAGAACACTGACAACTTGTGGCATTTAAGATAATGCTGCTAAAAATCATTAAAATCAGAATTTCCCCCATGCCATTCCACTCCATTTTTCTCAACAAATATTCGTTGATGCCTACCTTGTGCATTTGTCCAACCTTCAAAGCTGACAAATTTTCAGTAATATTCACCTTCATTTATAGAGCAGCTGTGAGGCTGTAGGTACTGAAACTATAGTCATGAGCAAGGTGTGGAGCTGTGGAGGGCCTGCAGTCAACAGACAACATCAATTAAGAGGGGCAGGTGCTACGACTGAGATAATTTGGGTTTCCCTGGGGGCTCACAGTAGGCCGAGTGGTCAGGGAAGGCTTCCTAGAGGAAGTGACGTTGGAGCTGAATTCTGCAGGAAGGACCAGAATTGGCCAGATGAAAGGGAGTGAAGTAGCTGGCTTGGGGTAGGGCACTTGGAGAATGGGTCGCTGTAGAGGGAAAGCTGTGAAAATTCACGGAGGCAATACTTTTTTTTTCCTTGCAGTGTAGGTTTGAAGAACTGAGTGTTCAGTGTGGCAGAAAGATAGAGTAGGAGGGGCTAAGAGGTAAGAAATGAGGCTTCACCAGAGTGGTTAAGCAACTTACTAAGTTCTCTCAGCAAGTACATGGTGCACCAAGAATGTAAACACAAAACTCAATGGCTTCTCTTTCCCACCATGAAGATTTTGTTCTGTGAACCTTTCCTGGGCCCCTTGCCTAATGCTCTGCTCCTCCCAAGTGGGCTCCTCTCTGCCTCCTTCCCTTCTTTACCTCTGCATTGCTTGTTTTCTGCAGCCCTGGGTGCTAGTGAGGAGACAGGGAAGACTTTTTGGGTACAAGCTGATAGTTCAGGTCTCAGAGGAACTCTCTTCTCTGCTTTTTGTCCACTCTGGTCATATTGACAAAGTTAATAGATAACAATGACTCCTGCATCATTGCCTCTCTCCACGCCCCCAGCTTAGTGGGGCCAGTGTGTTGCCCGGAGTAGAGCAGGGTGGGCCTTGACACTGACAGCTGTGGCTCTGTCTGGGGGACTATGTCTACCCACGTGCAGATGAATGTGCGTGTATGTTTACTGAATGTGGCCATGAGCTGGAATCTATGTCTAGTGCATACGATATATTAACAATCCTATGAGGACAATATTATCTCCATTTTACAGATAAGAAAACCAAAGTGTGGAAAGGTGAAGTAATTTGACCAGTGTCACCTGGCTTGTAAATGGCAAACCTGGGTTGCTAATGGTCTGAATCCAAAGCCCAGACTCTAAACCATGACAAAATCCAAGATCATGGGAAAAAAGAGAAGATCTGCATGTAATAGATGCTTTGGAAATTTGCCTGAGCTTTAGAGGAAGAGAACCAAAAGGCTCATTAATACAGTGCTAAGTCAACAAGGCACATTCCCAGCCGGTGTGTGAGGGTGGATGCCCAAGAAACCAAAGGCACAGCAAATGAACAAGCGAAGGGAAAACTCCCAGAGGCTGCAGCCTTAGTCTTTCCTGAGAGCTGGCGGACGACCACCACCACCTTCAAGCGCGAAGGGCTCTGGCCTCTTTAACCGGACAGGCACAAGGCAAACCCCTTTTTCCTCTCCTTTATCTGAGACGTTTGACATTCTTCAAATATAACTTTGCTAGAAATCTGACAGAAAAACAAAATCGTAAAATGGTAAAAGAACAGATGAAATTCTCAAGCTTACGTTTTTGATAGTAAGGAAAGTGAACTTGGGCCACGGATTTGCTTGGCTGGCCCCCTTCCCTGGGCACTTTAACTCCTATTGCTTTCCCCAATCTCATCTCTGTCTTGCTTGGATGGTGGAGCAAACTACTGCGTCCCCTGCCACAGAATGGGTTATCTGGAAGCAGAAGCTGAGATGGAGTTTTGGGTGCAAGGTGGCTATTAGGGATTGCTAAAAACTACACAATAGGCCCAAAATGGAGTTGCTTATGTTAAGCCCACGTCACCAAACTGAGTCTCACTTAATTACAATGTGGGCTATCCCAGAAATGGAATCTTAAAGCAACCAATCAGGAATCATCTCACCAGTCAGTATTATTTGGGTAATCTGCCTGATAGCCCCCTGCATCCCTTAGAGGAAAAGTAACCTTGCCATATCAACCCACTTTTTTGTCTAGTATTAACTTCCTGTTCCTGCTCCCTTCTGCCTATAAAAGTCTTTCATTTTGTAAGTTTTTTGGAGCTCCTTTCTGACAGATTGGATGCTTCCTGACTCATAAATTGTTGAACAATGCCAATAAGATCTTTTAAATTTACTCAGTGGAATTTTGTTTTTGCTTTTTAACAGGATCAGCAGAGGAAGAAACTGACATACAATACAAATACAGATCTGCCCAAGTCTTGGCCAACTTGGAGTTACTCTGGAATGTTGCCTACCAGTGTCCTGGGGCAGGCTGCAATGGTTGGGTCTTTACACCTTCTTCCCCCCAAATCACTCAGTCACTGCTCAGGGCTGCTGAGGCAGACCCTGAAAGAGCTGACAGTTGCGGTCTGTCTACTGACTCCGATCTCTGCATCTGGGCCACAAGTCCTTCCTTGAAGGGGGACCTGAGCAGTAATCTCCATGGCTACCAAAGCTTGCAGCATTATTCATTCACTTATTGATTATTTGACATACTGTGTGCTAGCTGCTGTGTTGACAGCTGGGGGACAGGACAGCATAAGGGATGAAGCCGAAGTGGATCTTCTCAGTGTTAGTCTAGCAGGACAATTGGCTAATTATGGAGCAGGGTGGTGAATCCAGAGGGCAGTGAAGAGTGCCTACACAGGGTCACTGTTCTAGCTGGGGCGACCGGTGCTATGGGTCCTTCTCAGTCAAGCTTTGCAAAAGAGAAGTCCCCATCCTATTCCTCTATTCCTATTTTCTCACCACCCCAGTGCAACCTGAGTCCTCCCTTCTCTCCTTCTGAAACTGCTCTTCATGAGAATACTTCCCCATCCATCTTCATCCCCAGTGAGAGTCCAGGTGTAGTCCTGATGCCTGAATGTTCTAGCTGTTGTACTAGATTCTATTATCTCTTAGAGTCAGAGGGCACTAAGAGAAGATGGAGAGAACCACTGGTTTTTCTCTCTTGAGCTAGACATAAATAGCTCAGAGGTCAAAGTGGGCAGATCTAGAGGGAATTTGTAAGCAGGGAAGGGGGAAGCTAGGTAAGAGGGGACTTTGAGCCCTGGAGAAGCATTTTGAAAATGATTTTGAAATATTATTCTGTATTGATCACCTTTTTGTTATCTTCTGGCCTCTAGCAAAATTGTGTCTAATATTCAGATGAGTTTACATTCAGATAAGCAAACACAGTTCCTGCTTTTCAGCAGCTCTTAGTTTAATGGGGAAGACAGACAAGTGAAGAGACAAGTTTGTACTTTTTTAATGATAAAGTGGGAATGGAAGCAAGCCCAGGATGCTGTGGGAGTCCAGGGCAGAAAACAACAGGGGAGACATAGGGGAAGGTTTCTCAGAGGAGGAAACATTCAAGGAGGCTTTGGAGAATGAATAGAGGAGTTTGTGGGGTCAGTGGTTTTTCAAAGAGTGGTTTTTCAAAGAGGTCTGTGGACTGTTGGGAGTCCTCAAACCTTAGGAGAGAATTTCCAAGGTCAGACTAGTATTACATTGACAGTATAAAAGCAAAGGTGGGGAAAGATGCTGATGCCTCAGTATGAGTCAGAGCAGTGGTACCAGACTGTACTAGAAGTCATTGTGTTCTTGCACCAAAAATGTTTAAAGTTTTATTGAACCCTTAAGGAAGTTGTAAAAAGTATTAGCTTCATTAAATCTCAACCCTTTTAAGAGTATAAATGGGTCCTGAGACCAAAATATTTAGAACTACTAGGTAGAGATTGACACTTCCAAGAGGTAAGAAGGCATATAAAAGCACCAAGTTGTGACACTATTTATTATTATTGATATTGCTTTTCTTCTACAGGGTATCTATATTCTGGCCTGATCAAGAATTCAGTATACATGGGGCAGAAGAGAGAGAATGGTAAGAGATGAGACCGAAAGGTAGGTTGTAATTAGCTTCTGAGAACCCTTATAAGCTCTTGACATGGTTTCATCCCTTTAGGTCAGCAGCCAGCCAGTTGGTGGCAAGTTTATTACACAGGACCCCTTCCATTGTGGAGGGAGAAGTGATTCCGCCTTATTGAATTTGACAGCTGCTCTGAAAATGTCTGCCTTTCCTAAGTGCCCTTACCAGTACCACTATCTCAAGAGTTTGGACTTAGGGAACGCCTGATCAGCTGAACATAGGGTCCCATAGAATGGTGCCTCAGATCGAAGGAGCCATTTTATGACAACGGAGGTGCATGACAATGATGCCAGTGCCCACTGGCCCTACCATATATTGTATAACTTGAAAGAAACTGGCAAAACAGAGTGTTGAAATGGTCTGTTGAGGGCTCAGCTAAAGTGCCAACTTGAGGACAGTAGTCTTTGGGGTCCTGTCCTCCAAGATGAAGGTACTCCCTACACCAATAGCCAGTATATAAGGATGGAAATTAGATTGGCCCCTCTCTCCGTCATACCCTGTAACCAACCCCCCATATTTGCTCATCCCCTCAACCTTAGACTGCTGCATTTGGGCTCTAGTTCCCTGTGAAGAGGACTTTTCCACTAGCAGACACAGTGAGGTTTCCACTGAACCTGAATCTACAGCTGTTATCTGGTCACCCTGAACTCCTTATGCCTGCACCAGCAGGCACTGAAAACATTGCTACTGGCGGGAGTCACTGACCCAAATTATCATAACGAGCTAGGGTAGCTTCCACTTAATGACAGTAAGGCAAAAATCCAGAATGCTGGGATTCAGTGGTGTCTCCCAGCACTTCCATACCTGGTAGTGACTGTGGATGAACACCTGCAACCAAGAACTCAGACTCCTCAGGTGATGAAGTTCTGGCTCCTCCTACCAGGCAGGCAAGCTAGACGAGATGAAGTTTTAGGTGGGGGGGGATGGATAGAAGAGAAGGGTAATACCCATGATCATTTTAGGACTAGTTGTAACTAGTGCGATTGTAGCTTGATTCAGTAATCCTCATACATTCAGTCTATAGAGGTTGCAGCTGGCTACCATCTTTAACAGAAGGGATTTAACATGGGATACAAGGGGATCTTAGAGGTGCAAGGAGTAACTGTACCAGTAAACTGGCAAGTTTAGACTCACTTTTCAAATGGAGACTAGCCAACAGAAAAGGGTGTAGTTGTATTTCAAACCCCTGAGGGTCTGCACTGATTCTCCTATTGGGGTTTTTGGCAGAGGCTCCCCACACAATTTTTCTTCTGCTACAGATACCTCCATGCCACTGGGTCTGCTGGGTCTCAAGCCCCAAGCAGCAGAGCAGCTTGAACACTTAAGACTTGCTGCAGAACCCCACTCAAAACTGGTAGCTTTGTGGATTACCTGGTAAAGGGGCTGGAGCAACATAATCCAATGTAGTAAATGTTGCCTCCAAAATCCAAACAGGCCTGCTAAGCTTTGTTCCTCTTTATTCATGGTGGTCAGTGCAAGGTGAAGCAACCTCATTTTAAAAGCCATATTCCAACATGCCCCAGGCAACTTGACCCCTATAAACTTCACCTATGTGTGAGGTCCTGGAATTTCCATAGAGTTTATCTCTCATCCTCTGAAATGCCTGTGTTCTACAAAGTATCTGGAACACTTGCCACTTCCAGCTCAGCAGGTTCCATTAGCACAATGTTATCAATATAAATGAACCAGCTTGGTGGGCTATTAGGATGATCAAGGCCCCCTCTGGCTTATATTATGCCAGTAAGCAGGAGGTTGACACAGCCCTGAAGAAAAATAGTGAAGTAATACAGCTGACATGCCACACAAAGCAGATTGCTTTGGGGTTGAAAACATCTTCCAGATGCCAGGGACTATATCAATTTACTCCAATAAGGATACCATATCCAGGTTTTAGTTGTAATTGGATTCACTACCTATTTGTATTTGTGATAATGCATAGTCATTCTCCAAACTCCTTCAAGCTTTTACATCTGACAAAAGGACAAATTAAATGAGACTGTGGTAGAAATAACTCCTCTGCATCTTTCAAGCTCTGTTGACAGTGCTCCTCTTTGCAGTTCCCCCTAGAATGCATTACACTATGGCGATGCTGGGGAGGTAGATGGTGGTTTTATCTCCTCCATAGCTAGAACACAAAGGTGTGGGCAACTACAAGAGGTAGAAGTAGGATGGTCACTCATCACCGCTACTGTTGTTGGGAAGTTGAGTTTGTTTTCCTTGGTTCTTATTCCGGCCGCAACAAAAAATTGAAGGCAGAGACACAGTAGAAGTGGAGTATAAGTCCAGGGAGAGGAAATCCCAGGGCAAAATACCTCTAAAAACCAAAATCAGTCAAAGGGAAAAATAAAGTTTAAAACCCGTTTATTGCTTACAAACTGCAGTTCAGGGCCATCTCTCTCCTCTGCTCTGGAAGAAGCAAGCAAGCCAGCCCCTTCCCTTAACCTCTCAGGTTCAGACACTCACTGACATGGAGATGAACTAATCTCCACCCCTGAGGATATGCAAATGCACTAAAGCCAGGCGAGATATTCTGACAATATTGCAATTTTTCCCACAAAAGCAAAAGTTTTATTTGAATACACTCTAAGGGAGGAATGGGCCAGAGTCAAGGTAGACAAAGGCAGGTTTACTCGACTAAAGCAGAGAGGAAGGGGAAGCTTGCTGACAGGAACCTGTAAGCTCAAATCAGAACTCTCAGTAGCCCCTCCTTATCTGAAGTAGGACAGAGAGGGTGAAGACTTGTGCTTAAAGTCTGGAAAATAGAATGAAATTGCAAAGTGACAAAGACACCACTGGAAGAACAGAGACAAAATGTAGTAAGTTGAGCAGGAACAAGTCTTTTAAAAATACACACTCCAAGAAAGAGGAGTGCGGGCAACCTCAGAGAGGAGGCACACTTAAGGGCTTAGTACTCGCCTTTTAAGGCCTTCAAGAATGGGGCAAAGGGCAGGGGTGGGGGCTGTTGGGTGTAGGCTTGACTTGTGGTCTCATGATGTCTATCTCAATGAGAGACACTATATCATTATCTATCTTTCAAGAGTGGTATAAAGGTAAAGGGTTAGGGGGGCATAGGCTTGTTATGCAGTCCCATGATGTCTATCTCACTTGCATTAGCTAGACCAAGTCTCAAGGTCAGCCCAGATTCAGAGCAATGGAATGAACTTAGATTGCAAAGGGTGTTAACTCTGTCCTTCTGTCTCTCTGGCCTTATCTGAATAACTCCTTGAGTTCTTGCTGGGCCCCAAGAACTTCTGCTCACATCTGTCTTTCTGCCTAACACTACCAATGGCCCACTTGTAGAATTCATGCTTCTTGTTCCATAATCGTAGGCCCTAACAAGTTCCTATTCCTGTGGGTATGTGCGTGAGCAAGTCCTCTCCTGCTGTTGGGAAATCCAACCCAGGGAGATTTTCCTTAACACTAGGTGAGACCTCAACCTGGGAAAGGTTCTTGATTCTAATGGAGAAAGAATTCATCAGCAGGCCAAGCAGATACAAACAAAGAGTAGTTTAATAAAGCAAAGTATACACTCCAGGGAGTGCGGGCATGCTTGAGAGGTGAGCAGCATGGTGGGGTTCAGGTTGGGTGGTCTTATAGCTGGAGTTTAAGTAGGGGGTAGAAATTCATCAGGATAAGTGGGGTTTCCTCAGAACAGGGAGGGGGTTTCCAGGGAATAGGGTGAAGCCTTCTTTTTGTCCTTAGATGGTCTGCCTCAGAACTGTCATGCACCAAGGGGTAAGACTTTTAGTATGCTAATGAGCTTAAAATGTATTTGGAGGTGAAGTCTGGGTCAGCTTCTTCTCTATGTTGGAACCAGCCAGTTTTGGCAGGTCTGTTATCTATACCCTCCCTCCCCACACACCTGGGAAATGTTTAGAATATAAACAAGCATGTAACCAAATGTAAACACAAGCCAAAGTCTCCAATCCCCTCTCTGTGCATGTCTGACTATCTACCTACTATAATCCTTCCACTAGGAAACTAGAGGCTGTGACCATGGTTTGGCCATTTTGGGGCTCTTCATGCCAAGCAGACCAGCAGACAAAGATGTCTCTGTACTGAGAGCAGTAGTTGACACTGATTCATGTGAATAGCAAGGGTTGCTATTTCATAAGGATAAAGAAAGAGTATGTCTGGAATTCAGAGGATTCACTGGGACAAATTTTAGTGTTTCTCAGCTCAGTGATAACTCTGAACAAGTAATTCTAGTAACCATGGCCTGATAAGCACAAGGCGAGGGGGCTGAAGGTCTGCATCATCCCACCAGGCAGGTAACCCAGATCAAAGTGCTCACTGAGGGTGAGGGAAAGCTAGAATGATTGGTAGAGCAATAAGATGATGAATATCAGTTACGGTCCTGGGACTAGCTGTAATAAAGGTATGTACCTTGGGCTTATAAACCCCTTGTAAAGAGGTACAACTGGCCATTAGCTTGAAGAATTGAATTTAAACTTCCCCTCTTGGGGAAAAAGTGAGAGCATCATTTTTTCCCACCCAAGATCCAGATATAAATGGGTATGAGCAGATCTAAGTGGTGCAATCAATGGATATTCAAGATTCAGTTTATTTCACACCAGATATGTTCAGCCTGACTCTCCCACTGCTCTCCTTAGGACCTAAACCACTTGCCCTATTTTCTACTTAGATTGGCTCCAGAGATGGCTTATTTTATTCCAGTGGTCATAGCCCTGGCTACCACATCCCCCAGCTCTGATGACCTCAGCATCCCTTGGGGCTGCAGGTCAGGTATCAATCAGCCCAGCTTCTAGCATGCCCACTGCCCTCAGAGCCAGCTCTAGCACCAGGTGTGACCTGACTGAACCCCTGGGGGCTCTGCTGGCCAGTGACTTCCCAGAGTGGTCAAGTACACAACCCATGTATTATAAGGACTTACTATCCCATGGGGAGGACTTTAGCCAATGGGAGACAGAACATGGGGAGGCATCCACAGATAAATGGCTTCTTTTTCCTCCCCCAATGGGTTATTTTTAGATGTGCCGGCTCCATGTGGCTTCTCTGGGGATGTCCTGTGAGCAACCAACCCCATTGAGCATCCTTGTGAGGATGGTGCCAGCTCAGCAAAGCACCACCTTGTAAGTGTTCTCACGACTTCCCTGCTGATAACCCCTGTCAACCTTCACTCATGCTTCTTTCCCAATAAAGCATCAGCACGTATGCTTTGCCTCAGGTTGGTTCTGTGTTCTAGGAGATCTGGGCTAGGAAAGGGGTGTGATCAGAGAACGGTGTATCTGAAATTTAAGTTGTGGTGGGATTGCGGTTATTGTAATGAAAGGTGTAGAACATAACCACAGAAAGGAATGGCTTAGACAGAATGGACAGTAAGTTCATGGAGAAGAGAATCCAGGGCACTGGATAATCATCATAATCATAATCATCAGTGTGGATATGGAAATCCCCAAGAATGATGAAGGAGTGTTGGAGAGAATGATTCAGGAGATAAAATCTTCAAGTGCTGGGGAGACAGGCAGAAATGCCCACATACAGAGGGGCTGTGGAAAGTATTGTCTTTTCACATTGTAGAAGAGAGGGCCTTGGGATTAGCAGTGAGGAACAGGAGAACATGTAAATCACCACTGGGCCCAGGGATACAAGGGCTGTAGGACAGCAAGTAACTACCTCTTGAGAGGAATTCAAAGATAACAGTATCCTCAGACAGGAGTTATACTGCAGGTGAGAAAAATGAAGGGAACATTTGTGAAAGGGGATGAGGATACAGAATACTCTCCTGATGAATGACTTGAGCTCCAGGGGCACAGTGGAAAAGTTTCAGGAGATGGGGAGTTATGGCAGATGGGGTTAGAAAAGGTGATGGACAGCTGAATGGGATGACAGCCAGGGGATGAGGAAGACCAGAAGCCACGTGGCAGGGCTAATGGCCGTGAGTTATCCTGATGAGCCCCAGGCAGCCAGTGATGGAGCAGCTCAAGTGTTCAGGGGGGGGAAGCATGAGTTTGTCCCGGGTGCACATGCCTGGGGTTCCCCCTGAGTCCTGGGAGGGAGGCGAAAGCCCTGCAGGCACTGGGGGGGTCCTGCTCTGAAAGCACAAGGTCCTGCCTTGTGACCTCTGGGGACAGGGAGCCCTCTAGCAGAACAGAAGCAACCTCGTATCTTCTTTCCAAGACACCATTAAACTTAGACAAATCCTCATATCCTTTTTTCTTTTCATTCCTTCACCTACTTTACATAACTCTTTGATTCCTTATCATCTTATCAAAAGGAGTCTATTTTTAATTTCTTGACATTTCTTTCATAACCTACTCTTCCCTTTTCCTGTTACTCTGACTCCTTCTTTTACCTTAACTGACTTTGTACTTCTTCGAGCTTGTTCTGCCTGACACGCTAGCCCCGACTGTTTCTTACTTTTTCAAGCAATATGCAAACTTCCTTCCTGCTTTTGACCAACTCTTTGGAAAGACTTGGTGACCTGTACATAATAACATGAATTTACTGACTTTGTGCATTTTATATCTATTCATTAACCTCAATTCCTTTCCTTCTAATAGAGTAGATTTCTTCTCTGCTCAGTGGTGCCCACCTAATATTTCCCCACCTTTTGTTTACATCTTTCCATCTTCTATGGCACATCTACAAAATTACCCTCCCTTTCTACAACTATCCCCCACCTTCTCCAAGCATCCTCCTACCGTTTATAAATATTGCCCATGTTTGACCTGTGTCTTTCTAGGATTTTTTTCTCCCCGAGCCTACTCCTACAGTTTATATTCTGGGGTATGACCAAAATATCAGTGCATGACTCACATACTTTGGGCTGATCAATATAAAGCTTTAAACCAATAATATTGCAAACTATTGTGCACATTACCACCACCTTTCAGTTCCCTTTGTGAAAGCTTCCCCCTAAGTATTTAGAATTATTGTGACTCACAGTTCTTTTAACAGACTCAACTAGTTCTGATTCACTGGGGTCAGAGTTTCCCTCTCTGGGGTTCATGTAGGTTGCCCTTTGGCCATTCACTGCTCTGTTTATAGGCTGGCCTTTCTGACCTTGTCAGTTCTGCACAAGTATCTTTGAATGCCCACATATTCTTGAATGAAAGTCAGGATGCTCCAGGATCAGTAAGAGATGCGATCATTTTGTTTCTTTCCCAGAATCTTAGTTGTTCTTCCAGGACAAGGTTATTAGAGTAAAAAACTGGGCTTGTTTATTGGAGGGTTTTATTCCAGGCTGATCTAGTAACCAGCTGGCCAGAGTACAGACCTAAGAGATTTGGGTTTTAAATAGTTGCTTGAGAGACAGATGCCTGTCTGCTTGGGTTTCTTTGTGTGTGTGTTTTGAGGGGGTGGGAGGGTTGGAGGGCAGAGGGTAAGAGAAGGGGTACAATGTTCTATCTACAGAACGTCAATGTATTTCCCACTCCTTACGGCCAAGTCTTCCTTCTGCCTGTGGCTGCTCCTGGCATTTCTCAGTCTTATGGTTCTCTTGCGTTTTGACTCTATGAAACTGTCTCCCACCCCTCTTGCACATTCCAGGCTGCAGCTTCCTGTACCCTGCTTCGTCGGTAACTACATCTCCACTTCCCTTTTCTTAGAAATGTGTTGAAATTGATCTTACACTGATATCCCTCCTCTTGTTCTTTCTTTGCTGTGTGTTTATATCTTGTTTTTCCCAACATGCAATAGAAATCACGTACTTAGGTGAGAAAAGATAGAAACTTGTGTTTTCTATCTTGAATCAAAAGTCAGTGGATGACTCTATCTTGTATAAGAACTGGAAGAAAAAATATAAAAGGATTCCAACCAATAGGTACCACCTGCCTTCTTAGAAGAGAACCCTGTATGTGCATCCCTTCAGGGATAGATGTGACTCACCATGGACATGTTGGTAAGGGTTCTTCTGGGCCATGGCTCAGCTCTGTAGGCATCCATTTTTCCTGTCTGGGGAAACCATAGAAAATGGTTGAGATGAAAGGATTTTCCTAGTGGAGTGAATGCAGCGTAAATCACATTGACCTGAGAATGTGACCAGAGCCCAGATATTTTACAGGATCCTCTGTCTTCCACTCCATACCGCTCTCTGTCCCACCCCACCAATTTCTAAACATTCCAGTTGATTTTACCTCTCACTGCACTCTCTTTCCCAAAGCTTTCCCATCATTAGAGGCAAACTTACCATTCACAGGCTTATTTCTCTGACGATTTAGCTGTGATCTGATACTCATTTGTCTCGATTTAATTTTGCTTAGAGACACAGTGTAATAAATGAGAATATACTTCTGACTGTATCATGGTGACCACTATGAAACAACTTTTCATTCTTGAAACATTCTGAGCCAAAACATACTCATTATTTAGATTCTGGACAATTGCCTCTACATTAAGGAAGAGGAAAACTATCTTAAGAGAAGATTTCCATACATAGGATGAAACTGACTTCACCTTTTATAATGCAAACCCTTAAGTTAAGAGGACCACAAACAAAACTTCATGAAATATTCTTACCTTAAGTAAAATGGATGTTTGCCCCAGAGAGCTCCTGGTACTTAACCACAGTTACCTGTCACTTTATGGGTGTTTGCTTGATAGAGGTTTGCTGGATCAGTGAGTATTGGCTAGAACTCTTTAAGTGCCTTTTGCTCAGATCAGGATGCGTTCTAGAGAATAGAACACACTCACTATGCAGGTAGCATTAAGTACTGTAAGCTATAGGGAGATGGGGGTCTAACAGGCTGAAAAATAGGGTAAACCTGTTGTTGAATGTTTGGAAAAAGAAGAGTTTACCTACTTTTCAGAGCTATCTGAAGCTGACTCTTCTGGTTCTGAATTCATTTAAAAGGTCACTGTACAGGATGTTTACAGAACATTATTTATAACAGTGGAAAACCAGAAACAGCATGAATGTCTAACACTAGAAAAACAATTACTGGATAGAATAATGTACTCTTTTTAAAAATAGACTTTTAGACCTTACTTTTTAGAAGTTTTATATTTACAGAAGAACTGAGAAGACAGTAGAGAGAGTTCCCACACCCAGTTTCCCATATGATTGATATCCTCCATCAGTATGGTATATTTGTCACAATTAATGAGTCAATACTGATACCTTATTATTAACTAAAAGCAATATGTTATTCAGATTTCCTTAAGTTTTTGCTTGATGTCCTTTTTCTGTTTCAAATCCCCATGCAGAACACCACAATACATTGTTGCCATGTTTCCTTAGGCTCCTTGTAGCTGTCACAGTAGTTATAATCTAGTTTTTTAAATGATGAATATGTAAAAGCCATGTGAGTGTATTTATATATGGGAACAAAGACTAAAAAGGGACACAAGGAAATAAAAATACCAGTTGGGGTGCTAAGGTTATGGTTGACATTTACATATTTACATTCTTTTCTTTTTTAAAATTACTTTAAATATGTGGATTCAATTATAAAGTCTTGAAGTCTTCTCCTTTACTTCTCCCCATCACATTTTATATAGTTTTGACTCACAGATAAACAGCCTCTAGACATCAACTCCAAAATAGCTGATGGGGACTCACAGGCAGGCCTCTGGAGGAAGACGAGGTCACATGCTCTGGACTGTGAGTCGAATGACATTTCTTCTGAACTTTTACCTCTTCCTCTCACCCACCCCTTTGAGATTGAGATAAAGTAGGTATTTGGTGCTTCAAGTTTAGATACGGAAACTTCCTCTCAATTTCTGACCCTAGAAATCTAATTATTTAATAGGCTGAAAGGAGAGATTCCTTAACCTAGTTGGGGAATAAGCACCATATAGTTCTTTATTTCTCTATTTTTCTTTTTTTCTCTTTCTGCAGCAACAAGGCAGTACCTCCCACCCCCGACCCCTGCTGTGCAGAATGATTCATGGACTTCACATGCCCAGGCTCTGCCTCTCTGCCTGCACTCTGCTATGCAGATGAGTGGAAAGGATGCAGAGAAAAGGGGAGAACAGAGCAGGCACTTGGGAATTTAAAGTGTTTTGCAGAAATACTTCCATTTGTAGAAATGGAAGGACTTAGTGGCAGAGAATGGTCAATGTCCACTAACACCTTTCCACCTCTTCCTGGGGACACACCTGCAGTACACCTTCCAGCTCCTTGAGGCTGGGTGTGGTCACACAAACTGGGGCAGGAGCCATACATGCCACTTCAAGCTCTGACCCATCAAATATTCTCAGTTGAGGAATGCCAGAAACAGAAACAATCATTTCACCCAGCCTACCCCTTAGCTGCTCAGCATACATGCCTGTCTTCTCAGATACACAATCCCAAATGCCCCCATGGACATAATCCAAACACTACCTCAAACTCATTAGTGGGTGACAATCCAGTTACACATAATTTCAGCATCCAGGTTCTCTGGATATGGCCGGCCTCGGTCTGGATACTGTTTTCTTGTGATCGAACAACCCTTAGACTAAGTACCGTTGGCCCCTACCTCTGCCCAGCAGTCCCCAAATCTTTAAGTCTGCCACTGGCAACACTTCCTTTCTGCTACTTATGTCTGTCTTATCAGGCCTCTTGGGTGACAGAAATTCAAGGCATTTGGCAAAGTGAGATAATCCTCAGGCCTAAAGAGAATTAATTTGTCGCTGTGGGCCATGGCGTCAGTAGCATTAAATCTGGGATCTGTGGGGCAGTGATAGTCTGCTGTGTAGTCTGAGAAACAGAGAAAGCTACACTGCTGAGAAATGAATGGCGAGATCATGTAGAGTTTATACCTGCAGCTTTCAAATTCCCCTCCTGATGTCTGACTGCACTTCCCTCTTGGGTTCTGTGAGATGCATTTGTATTTTTAAACAATAAACCTCCTCTTTTCTGTTCCTCAATTCTTTTTTGGCTTAATTAACTCAAATTGGCTTTCATAACTTGTAATTAAAGAATCCTAACTAACATGATGAAGCAAAGTTTAGAAATACAAAAGGAAGGAGACACCTGCTAATGATCAGAGGGTGTTATACACAATTCTTTGACTCGAAGGAGTGGATTCCAACCTCAGATATTCTAAATTCTTCCTGATTTCCAGTTTTCTTTCCACCAGGGTGTGATAATCACCTTTCAGATAGTCCCCTATGGATTTATATAGGAATATTATCTTTAATTGATTGATATTTCATTATGTTTAGAGATCCCTGCTAGAAAGAAAATCTTTGCTAACCCTTGAATCAGAGTTTTAAGGTAAAAATCCTCACCATTATTCACATGACAACCTCATTCACACCTCCAAGGGCTGTGCTTCTGGAATATTAGTTTGGTAGCAGATATAGATGTAATTATAGGGTGGGATCTGGACACTGAAAAACAAAATTGGGAGCAATTGCAATTGTGAGAAAAAAATTTTTTTCCCAGAACATGGCAAAGAAAAAGAGGGAATGGGTTCGGAAGAAGTTCAGTCATTAATTGATGGGATTAACAAGTGAGTAGGTGTGAGACGTGGAGAGGTCTGAGTCACTGAGAACCCAAGGCTCCATCTGCAGCATTTCCATTGTGTAACTGTATAATTAAAATTGAATTACATCACTTTTCACCCTTCATACTAGCAAAAATTAGAAAGCTAATTAATGCTAAGTGTTTTTGGGGACATAGGAATATAAGAACACTCAAACACTGCCAGTGGTAGAACAGACTGGTGCAGCCATTCTGGACCCCAACCTGGCAGTACTAAGTAAAAGTAAGATTATATGTTTCTTACCAGCCCATGATTTCCCTCCTGAACCTACAGCCAAGGGATATTCTCACACACAACCAAAGGGGAGATGTATGAGGGTGCTCATTGCAAGTTTTTTGTTAAGGAACTGGTGAGTTGGAGTTACCCATCACTACTTTCCCATCACTGGAGGATTGAATAGGTATAATGTGGGGGATGTTCCCAATGGAACGCTGTATATCAGCCAGAACAACAAACTAGATGTACATCTAGCAACATGTAGTAGGTATTAGAAACACAGTACTTCATAAAAAAGAAGTAGCTATAGCATAAGGCCATTTACAGAAGTGAAAAAATATATGTATGTTAATATAATACATTGACAAGGAACATATGAATAAAAGGATACACATCAAACATGTTAGAGTGGTTGTCTACTTAGAAGGATGGGAGTGAAGAATGGGAATCAAAGGAAATCAATAATAAAAGGGAGAAATTTTGAGTGAACAAATGATGACACAAACTAAGGAGTGTGATGGACTCAACCTTCTGACCTGAGGTGAAAAGAACTTAGGTGGAGGAGGTAAATATCCAAAAAATATCCCTGAGACTGGAGGAACCCTCAAGTGTCACTCTTGCTTAGAACATGTGCTTTGATAAAAACACACATGGAAGGAAGGACATAGAGAAGACTTGCATATTAAAATGTGTTTGACCACATGCACATCTATGAAGCTCAGGTGAGGCACTTGGTAAGAGTTATGAGGTCAAGGCACAGAAAAGGCAGAAGGCGTGGTGGGAACAGGATTCAAATGTCTGGCTGAATGAAGGGAATGGATACTATGTCCCTGAAATATACCAAAATGCATATTCATTAGCATACTCATTAGCAAAACTAAGGTAAAGGCATTGGAGGTTTAGGAAAGACAGCAACAAGCAAGATGTGGGGAATCAGATAAGCGAAAATGATCATCAAATTCATTTTGAAAGTGAAATGTGTTTTTCCTCAAGGTTTTAAAGAGTCAGAGCTCCCAAGGGACCAGATATCTGGCAGCTGCAAATTGGAGAATTTGTGGAGTCTATAAATGAGAAACTAGACTCTAAAGGAAGCTAAATCCTCTTATGAAAATGAGAATTTAGGGGAAGGTGAGGGAAGAGTTGAGAGTGGGAGTGAAGAGCCAAGTTCTATACTTGTAAGTATTCCAAGTGGAGAAGTAAAATCCCATTAGAAAGTCTAACATTGAATCCTATTATGTAATTGTCCCTGAATCCTAAAGGAGCTTTGCTGACTCCCTGAACCTCAGATGGCCCCATGTCAATGTGGTGATACCCAGTTTCTCAGGGCAGCTGATGAGCAGGAATATTCTGTTTCCCCACCTTCTCTCATCTCCTATTCCAGTTCCCCTGTGTCAACCACCTCCTTTCTCCTTTCATCAGGTTTTTACTGGAAATAAAAACTGTGCAGTCAATGCAATGAATTCATTTTAGGAGACTCCAACACACCACTCACTCCAAAGAACAGATCAACGAGACAGAAAATAAGTAAGGAGACAGAGGCACTGGACAACATATTAGAACAGATGGACCTAATGGACATCTACAGAACACTCCATCCAAAAGCAACAGGATACACATTCTTCTCAAGTGCACATGGAACATTTTCAAGAATAGATCATATACTAGGCCACAAAAAAGAGCCTTAGTAAATTCAAAAAGATTGAAATTGTACCAACCAGCTTCTCAGACCACAAAGGTATGAAACTAGAAATAAATAACACAAAGAAAATGAAAAAGCCCACAAACATGTGGAGGCTTAATAACATGCTCCTAAATAACCAATGGATCAATGACCAAATAAAAATAAGAGATCAAGCAATATATGGAGACAATTGATAACAATAATTCTACACTGCAAAATTTGTGGGATGCAGCAAAGGCTGTGCTAAGAGGGTAGTATATTGCAATACAGGCCTACCTCAGGAAAGAAGAACAATCCCATATGAACAGTCTAAACTTACAATTAACGAAACTAGAAAAAGAAGAACAAATGAGGCCCAAAGTCAGTAGAAGGAGGGACATAATAAAGATTAGAGCATAAATAAATAAAATCAAGAAAAATAAAACAATAAAAAGAATCAATGAAAGCAGGAGCTGGTTCTTCGAGAAAATAAACAAAATAGATAACCCCCTAGCCAGACTTGTCAAGAAAAAGAGAGAGTCTACACACATAAACAGAATCAGAAATGAGAAAGGAAAAATCACTACTGACACCAAAAAAATACAAAGAATTATGAGAGAATACTATGAAAAATTATATGCTAGCAAACTGGATAACATACAAGAAATGGAAAACTATCTAGAAAAATACAATCTTCCAAGGCTGACCCAGGAAGAAACAGAAAATCTGAATAGACTAATTACCAGCAAGGAAATTGAACTGGTAATTAAAAAACTACCTAAGAACAAAACCCTCGGGCCAGATAGTTTCACTGCTGAATTTTATCAGACATTTAGTGAAGACCTAATACCCATCATCCTTAAAATTTTCCGAAAAATAGAAGAGGAGGGAATACTCCCAAACTCATTCTACAAGGCCAGCATCACTCTAATACTAAAACCAGGACAAGACACCACAAAAAAAGAAAATTACAGACCAATATCCCTGATGAACATAGATGCAAAAATACTCAACAAAATATTAGCAAACCGAATACAAAAATAAATAAAAAAGATCATCCATTCTGATCAAGTAGGATTTATTCCAGGGATGCAAGAATGGTCCAACATTAAAAAATCTATCAACATCATCCACCACATCAACAAAAAGAAGGACAAAAACCACATGATCATCTCCATAGATGCTGAAAAAGCATTCGACAAAATTCAACATCCATTCATGATAAAAACTCTCAACAAAATGGGTATAGAGGGTAAGTACCTCAACATAATAAAGGCCATTTAAGACAAACTCACAGCCAACATTATACTTAACAGCAAGAAGCTAAAAGCTTTTCCTTTAAGATCAGGAACAAGGCAGGGATGCCCACTCTCCCCAGTTTTATTCAACATAGTTCTGGAGGTCCTAGCCATGGCAATCAGACAACACAAATAAATAAAAGGATCCAGATTGGTAAGGAAGAAGTGAAACTGTCACTCTTTGCAGATGACATGATATTGTACATATAAAACCCTAAGACTCTACCTCAAAACTACTAGAACTAATAACCCAATTCAGCAAAGGTACAGGATACAAAATTAATACCCAGAAATCTGTTGCATTCCTATGTACTAACAATGAACTAGCAGAAAGAGAAATCAGGAAAACAATTCCATTTACAATTGTATCAAAAAGAATAAAATACCTAGGAATAAACCTAACTAAGGAAGTGAAAGACCTATACTCTGAAAACTACAAGACACTCATGAGAGAAATTAAAGAAGATACCAATAAATGGGAACATATCCTGTGCTCACAGATAGGAAGAATTAATATCATCAAAATGGCCATCTGCCTAAAGCAATCCACTATGAATCCCTATCAAAATGCCAACAGCATTCTTCAATGAACTAGAGCAAATAGTTCTAAAATTCATATGAAACCACAAAAGACCCCAAATAGCCAAAGCAATCCTGAGAAGGAAGAATAAAGCAGGGGGGATTATACTCCCCAACTTCAAGCTCTCCTACAAAGCCACAGTAATCAAAACAATTTGGTACTGGCACAAGAACAGACCCACGGACCAATGGAACAGACTAGAGAGCCCAGATATAAACCTAATCATATATGGTCAATTAATATATGATAAAGGAGCTATGGCTATACAATGGGGAAATGACAGCCTCTTCAACAGCTGGTGTTGGCAAAACTGGACAACTACATGCAAGAAAAATGAAACTGGATTATTGTGTAACCCATACACAAAAGTAAGCTCAAAATGGATCAATTACCTGAAAGTAAGTCATGAAACCATAAAACTCTTAGAAGAAAACATAGGCAAAAATCTCTTGAATATAAACATGAGCAACTTCTTCCTGTATACATCTCCTCAGGCAAGGGAAACAAAATAAAAATGAACAAATGGGACTATATCATGCTAAAAAGCTTCTGTACAGCAGAGGACACCATCAGTAGAATAAAAAGGCATCCTACAGTATGGGAGAATATATTTGTAAATGACATAT